AGGATGCCCTGGTACAGGAGTGGGGAACTGAGATGGAGGAAAGAGAAGGAAAGACAACCAATATAAAATGTGCTATTGAGCAGGACACTACTGTGGGATGCTGCAACTCAGTCTCCTTGAGAACCTCTGGGAGACAGAGTAGAATATTCTCAGAGCTTTCCCCTGCCCTAACATGTGAGATCACTGGTGTGATCTATTTATCCTCCACTCTATTCCCTTTCACCCTGGTATTTCTCTGAATGAAAGCCTTGCACATCCAACTCTGTCTCTGCTTCTTAGAAGATCTGAATTAACACAGGTTGAGAGTGGAGACAGGCCTCAGGGAGGATTGCCTTAGCAAATGTGAAGCCATGAAGGAGCTGTGGGAAAAGGAATGACACATTTTGACTTGTGTTTCACAATGACCATGCAGGCTCTTGTAAGAATGGATGGTCATAGTGATGATGGGGCAATGGCAGACAACAGCAAAAGCAGGGACACTAGTCTTCAAGTTATCAGTAGCTGTGTAACAAGTTACCCCCAAATTTGCTGGCTTGTTGTTCATGCTTTGTGGGTTGGGAATTCAGGAAGGGCTCAGCTGGGTGGTTCATCTCTGATCCATGTGGAAGCAGATGGAGCTGCTGGAGCTGGACGGTCTACTTCCTTATTTTTTCTTTCCTTCCACCTGCAACTGTCTTGATTGAGTTATACAGTCTACTTCCAGGATGGCTTCTCCACTCATAAGCCTGGCACCTTGGTGCTCTCTGGATTCCACCCTCCCCTGCTCTCTAGCATCTCATCCTCGACTTTCCTCATGGCCTGGTCTTCTCACAGAAGGGTGGTCTCCAGGAAGCTGCATCCTTACCTTGTAGCCAGCTTCCAAGAGATTGAAAATGGAGGCCCCCAGGCAAGTTAAGGGTGGCACCTGGAACTGGCCCAGCATCCCTTCTGCCAAATGCTATTGAGGAAGACAAGCACAGGCCTCCTCAGCTTTGAGGCAGTAGAGAAGTACAGTCAACATTTTGCTGGGGAGTGGCAAAGTCGGCTGGAGAAGAGCCCGTGGCATGGGCAATATTGCTGCCACCAGATTTGGAAAAGGACAGTTGGTTATAACCAGGTAGGAGGTTTTGTAGCATCCAGGCAAGAGACAATGATGATTGGTATTAATGACATGGCTGTGAAGATGGAGAGTTGCTGATGCACGCTGCATTTTGGAAGTAGAACTGATAGGAGTTGGCTATGTCTTGGTTATGGGGCTTGTGGGTGACAAGAGCACTCAATGGCTTCCATGTTTCTGTAAAGGCAACAGAGGAGAGGATGGCGCTGTCTCCTGAGGTGGTAACACCATGAGATCATGAAGGAGATCAAGAGTCCAGTTTTCAGAGCACTCATGGATGGTCATCTACTGAGTCAGACAGTTATCTGACCTCTGCAAAGTTACTGACTTTGGGGTAAGTCGCTCAAACTCTGAACCTCAGCTTCTGCATTTATAAAATGGGCATGCATCACCTCTCTGACTGAATAGTTGTGAGGACTTTGTGGGTGTGGCAATGGCCTGGGGTGGATGCTTTTTTTTTTGAGACAGGGTCTTGCTCTGTCACCCAGAGTAGAGTGCAGTGGTACAATCTCAGCTCACTGCAACCTCCACCCTCCCAGGCTCAAGTGGTCCTCCCATCTAGCCTCCTGAGTAGTTGGGACCACAGGTGCACATCACCATATCTGGCTTTTTTCTGTGTATGTTTTTGGGAAAGATGGGGTCCTGCCATGTTGCCCAAGCTGATCTTGAATTCCTGAGCTCCAGTGATCCTCCCACCTTGGCCTCCCGAAGTGCTGAGATTACAAGTGTGAGCCAATGTACCTGGCCTTGGATGCTTAATTGATGCCCCAAGGTTTCTGTGTTCATCCATCTGGGCTCAGTCTGGGTTAGGACAAATTGTCCAGGCCAGAGAGCTTCCTGGAAACTGGGAAAGGGGAAAAGCATTTATGGATTTATTGAACACCTACTAATGTTTCAGACACTTTCAATACATTATCTTATTGAATCCCTCTGCAACTCTATATGTAAGATACATATAGAAATGGGGAAACTGGCTGAGCACGGTGGCTCATGCCTGTAATCCCAGCACTTTGGGAGGCCAAGAGGGACGACAGATCATGAGGTCAGGAGATTGAGACCATCCTGGCTAACATGGTGAAACCCTGTCTCTACTAAAAATACAAAAAAATTAGCTGGGCATGGTGGCACGTGCCTGTAGTCCCAGGTGCTTGGGAGGGTGAGGCAGGAGAATCGCTTGAATCCAGGATATGAAGGTTGTGGTGAGCTGAGATCACGCCACTGCACTCCAGCTTGGGCAACAGAGCAAGACTCCATCTCAAAAAAAAAGAAAAAGGGAAACTGAGGCTTCAGGAAAAATAGACTTACCCAAGTTTACATGCTGGTGAGTAAAAAAGCTGAAAGCCAAAGCCGGGTCTCACTGATTGTTTTGTAACCTATGATGGCTCAGTGCCACATAATAAGAGGTAACCTTTCTTCCCTACATCCTGATCCCTCCCTCCTTCTTCCTTCATTCTTTCTTTTTAAAAAATATATGTTTTTTATTTTTTAGGGACAGGGTCTCACTGTGTTGCCCAGGCTGGAGTGCAGTGGCATGGCATAGCTCACTGCAGCCTCAAACTCTTGAACTAAAGCAATTCTCCTACCTCAGCCTCCCAAGTAGCTGGGACTACAGATGTGCCATCACACCTAGTTAATTTTTATTTTTTTGTAGAGATGGAGTCTTGCTATGTTGCCCAGGCTGATTTGGGACTCTTGGCCTCAAGTGATCCTCACATCTCAGACTCCCAAATCATCAGGATTACAGGCATGAGCCACTGTGCCTAGCCCCTTCCTTCTCTTTCTTTCAAAATATTTCCTCTTTTCATTCTTAACATGCATTTCCCTCCACATTTCTGAAAGTGCTTTCTACTTATCTTATTTTTCAAGACAGTGTCTCACTCTGTCACTCAGGCGGAGAGGAGCACGTCAAACATCATGTAATGTCATTACTTAGCCAGTCAGCTGAAGAGGCATGGTAAAATCTGAACGCTCCCAAGGCCAAATCCAAACAAGCCATGGAATTTCAGATTAAGGTTACACCAGGTAACCTTTACCATGCTAGCTCTGTACAGCACGGGGGAGTGCAACATTCAGCAGGAATTGCAGAGGCTGGTTTTGTCTTAAATCGGCATCTGACAGGCCATCTGAGCCCAGAGAAGTTGTCTTGCTTCTTTGAGCCTCAGATTCCTCAGCTGTAAAATGGGGTCACTCATACCTACTGTGTTGATCCGTTTTGCATTCTATAAAGAAACACTTCAGACTGGGTAATTTGAAAAGAAAAGAGATTTATCTGTCTCACAGTTCTGTAGGCTGTACAAGCATGGCTCCAGCATCTGCTGGGCTTCTGGTGAGGCCTCAGGGAGCTTTTGCTCATGGCAGAAGGTGATTTGGGAGCAGATGTGTCACAGGGCATGAGAGAAAGCAAGAGAGAGAGAGGAGAAGATGCCAGACTTTTAAACAACCGGCTCTTCCATGAACTAATAGTAGGGCACCATTTTCCATGACCCAAACATGTCCCACTGGGTCCTGCCTACAATGCTGAGGATTTCAACTTGAGATTTGGAGGGGACAAATATCCAAACTATATTACCGACCAATTCCGCAGGGCCGACATGAAGATGGGATGAAATGATGGGTGTAAAAGTCATTTGTATGTGTGAAGAGTCGTGCCAATGTTGTTATTAAAATAAGTAGAATGCTGGGTGTGGTGGCTCATGCCTGTAATCCCAGCACTTTGGGAGGCTGAGGTGGGTGGATCTCTTGTGATCAGGAGTTCGAGACCAGCGTGGCAAAGATGATGAAACCCTGTGAGTTCTTACCCTATTTTTTTTTTGAGACAGAGTTTCACTATTGTGACCCAGGCTGGGGTGCATTGGCATGATCTCGGCTCACGACAACCTCCGCCTCCTGGGTTCAAGTGATTCTCCTAGCCTCCTGAGTAGCTAGGATTACAGGCATGTGCCACTACACCTGGCTAATTTTGTATTTTTAGTAGAGACAGGGTTTCTCCATGTTGGTCAGGATGGTCTTGAACTCCTGACCTCAGGTGATCCACCCGCCTTGGCCTCCCAAAGTGCTGGGATTACAGGCGTGAGCCATTGTACCTGGCCCCCTATATAGAAATATGAGGGCAGGACTTGTTTTTAGATGGTTCTTGCCTATATTCTCAACATAAACTATAGCATCAGACACATGGACGGTACCAGAAGTATTTCTTGAAAAAATAAAAGTTTTTATGGTGGTGAAGAAGATGGTGGAATTGGTAAGAGTGATGACGATGATAAAGAGGAGAGTGGGTGCTGGTGCTAGTGGTGGTGGTGATGATGCTGGTGGGGATGGTGGTGGTGGTGATGATGCTGGTGGGGATGGTGGTGGTGGTGATGATGCTGGTGGTGATAATGGTGGTGGTGGTGATTATGATCGTGATGGTGATGGTGATGATGGTGACGATGGCGATGGTGGTGATAGTGATGGTGGTGGTGGTGATGATGGTGTTGGTGATGCTGCAGCTGCTGGTGATGGTGGTGGTCGTGGTGGTGATGATGATGATGGTGGTGGTGATGGTGCTGTCCACGGCGTTGTTGGTGGTGGCTATGATAATGGAGAAAGACTTTGGGGATAGAAATGATACATTCTGAGGACCTGGGCTACCTCAGTGCCTTAGAGAACTTTTATGAAAAATGAATGTGCCTTTTCCCATTCTAGTCAGCGCAGACTACACTTGAAGGTGGATTTTGGAGGAAGGGTACTTGGAGCTGGAGGGGCTCTTGGAGATGATTTGCAAACCCGTGTGAGACTGTGAGGCCTGCCACGCCCCTCCTTCTTACTGCCCCAGGTGGTCCCAAGGCCACCTTCCCTTCCACACCTGCAGCCTCCAGCGCTCCAGGACTGGGGACCGCCCCCATCCACGCTGCGTGCGCACTCAGAGCTTGTACTTGGCGAGAAGAGCGCACAGGGTCAAACCACTGCGCCCTGGCCAGAGCTGGAGCTGCGGAAATACCCTAGAGCGCAGGGCTGGGAGTGGGGAGCTGGCAGTGTGGGGCCAAGAAAAAAGGCTGGTGCCGAAAGCTAGAGCTATAGGCAGAGACGGAGCATCTGGGAGCGGGGGAAGAGTTTGTGGAGAGTGAGGAAGGGGAATGGAGGGAGTAGGAGTAGGGGGAAAAAGAGGATTTTGAAGTGAGAGAGTGCGTTGGGCTGGACTTGGAGGGCCCGGGGTGGAGTGGGGCTGAGGAACGGTGTGGGTTAAGGTGCTGGTGGGGAGGGACTAGGACTTCCAGGAGGGTCTGAAGGCGGAGGTGGAGGTCGGACGGCACAGGCAAGGGGGTCTGCAGGTAGAACTGGCATTGGAGGCTGGGAGCCAGGGCTGGGGCTGAGCAGGGCGCGCATGCAAGTCGGACCACGCAGGTCAGGGTCTGAGGGTGCAGCCAGGGCCTGAGCTAGGGCCTGGGGTCCTAAGGACCGGCTTTCAGATCTGAGCTCAGCGGCCCGGGAGTGGAGCTGGGAGCCCACAGTGGCCGTGGCCAGCTGCGGGGGGCGGGCGCTGACGGTTCGCGCCTCCGCCGCAGGAACCCGCGGCTGCCGGTCCTGAGCTCCGCGATGCGAGTAAACCTGGGCGCGCTGGCCGGCGCTGCTGCGCTGACTGGGGCGCTCAGCTTTGTGCTCCTGGCGGCGGCCATCTGCACGGACTTCTGGTACATCATTGACACGGAGCGGCTGGAGAGGAGTGGCCCGGGGGCACAGGACCGGCTGGGGGCCAATCGCAGCCATCCCGAGCCTCTGAGCTCCCACTCCGGCCTCTGGCGGACCTGCCGGGGTAAGGGTGCACCCCGGGGCTGGGAGCTGTGGCTGCGAACGGCCCCTGCGCAGTGTCCTGCTCGCCTGGGACCTGTTGCTTGGCACGCACTCCTCCCCCAAGTCCCTAGAATACAGTGTCTAGGAACTCGGGGGAAGGTGGGAAGAAGGCCGGGGCCGCGAAAGCTCTTCGGAGAGGCTCCTGGCTGCGATCCCAACTGCTCTAGCTCCCCGCACGCCCTCCCCGGGTAGGGTACTTAGGGCAAGCATGGGGGAAAAGCAGCGGACCACGGCCCTGCGTAGAACTCCGGGGTCCGGCGCCCATGGATTCCTCTGTCCCATCCAGTCCACAGCCCGTGCACACCGCTGATGAACCCCTTCTGGCTGGAGAACGTGACAGTCAGCGAATCAAGCCGGCAACTTCTCAGTGAGTCTGGGGAGGGTGAAGAGGGAGGGAGCGCCCCTGTCCTAGCCATGGGTTCTGGAGTCTTTCCCCAAACAGCGGGGCTTCGGGGCCAGCGGAAGAGGTGACTGGGGGGTGGCACCTGACATCCCAGCCCGAGAACCGAGTGTGTTTAAGACGCGGGGCGGGGTGTCTCCTGATCCACCTGCAACATTGCATGGTTTAGGGTTCCTTCAGCTCGCGTTGACCGATGGCTTTCTTTGCACCGTTTTGATTGATGGTTAAGACACAGGCCATGTCCTCATGGAGCTCAGTGTAGTTGGGGACAAATGTGGAAATGCGTACAGTTAACAGTGACAAGCAGCGTGAGGAGTGGAAGGTGAGAGTCCCCTGCAGGGGACCTAAATTCGCCTGGGAGGTGCATGGTAAGAGAGAGGTCTCATTCCACAGATTCCAAGCCAGCGTTTTTTGTATCCTCATTGTTAGAAGGAGGGCTTTGCACTAGTAGGATGTGATAAAAATTTGCATATAAATTTATGATTGGAGCCAGACAATTAGGAGGCGGGAATAGCCCCTCCTCCCAGGGCCATTGTGTCCCTGTTATTCGTGGTTGGTTCCTAGTACCCAGCTGAACAGCTGGAACTCAGTAAAAGGTGTGAGGACTGAAAGCAAGAAAGCAAATGGGATGAATGAGTGTTTGCGGAGGGAGGAAAATAACAGTTCAATTCATTGAGGCTTGCTACAAGCCAGACATGGAGTGAACTGCTTTTCATGTATACCTTCATTTGATTCCTACAGCCACACCCTATGAACTTATTAGTATCTCCATTTCTGCCTTTCTTTTTCCAATGAGGAGGCCCAGAGAGGTTCTGTAGGAGGATCTGTTGAGGAAATGAAGATTGAGTTTCATAGACTTTGAAAATGTGGGCAGTTTTTTGTTTCTTTGAGACAGGGTGGTGCTCTGTTGCCCAGGCTGGAGTACAGTGGCATGATCTCAGCCCACTGCAACCTCTTCCTCCCAGATTCGAGCAATTTTTCCTGCCTCATCCTCCAGAGTTGCTGAAACTATAGGCACCTGCCACCGCACCTGATTTTTTTGTATTTCTAGTGCAATTGGGGTTTCACCATGTTGGCTAGGCTGGTCTGGAACTCCTGACCACTGCATTGGCTTACACCTGTAATCCCAGCACTTTGGAAGGCTGAGATGGGCAGCTCACTAGAGTTTTTCTTTTTAATTAAAAAATTAAAAAAAAAATAGAGCTAAGGTCTTACTATATTTCCCAGGTTGGTCCTGGACTCCTGGCCTCAAGTATGTCCCTGCCTCGGCCTCCTAAAGTGTTGGGATTTCAGGTGTGAGCCACTGTGCCTTGCCTTCTCCCTTCACCCAACCCTACCCAGAGACAGGGTTTTGTACTGTTGCCCAGGCTGGAATGCAGTGGCACGATCATAGCTCACTGCAGCCTCAAACTCCTAGGGTCAAGTGATCTTCCTGCCTCCGTCTTTCAAAGTGCTGAGATTATAGGCATGAGCAGTTTTTGATAGATTTACTGAGGCTGGGGATTAAAAAAATAAAGACAGGCCGGGCGCGGTGGCTCAAGCCTGTAATCCCAGCACTTTGGGAGGCTGAGGCGGGTGGATCACGAGGTCAACAGATCGAGACCATCTTGGTCAACATGGTGAAACCCCGTCTCTACTAAAATTACAAAAAAATTAGCTGGGCACGGTGGTGCGTGCCTGTAATCCCAGCTGCTTGGGAGGCTGAGGCAGGAGAATTGCCTGAACCCAGGAGGCGGAGATTGCGGTGAGCCGAGATCGCGCCATTGCACTCCAGCCTGGGTAACAAGAGCGAAACTCCGTCTCAAAAAAAAAAAAAAGACAAGTGCCTAGCATGGCCCTCAAGGCCTGGGGGGGGGGGGGTCTCTCTCCAGTCCCATTTCCCCCTTTATTCCTTTCTCTCCAGCTGTGCTGCTCTTGGCCAGTTCTTGGAACCTGCCAAGTTTCCTCCTGTCACAAACACTTGGTACATGCTGTTCCCTCTTCCTGGAACCTCCCTGCTTTTATCCCATCAACTTGACTCGGCTAATTCCCACTCACAGTGCAGGTTGTGTGTCTTTTGGGGTGTTTAAATCTGACTCCCTCCTTAGATTGAAAGCTCCATGGGACAGGAACCATGTCTATCTTGCCACTGCTGAATTCCCGACATTTAGCACAGAACCTGCACATAGTAGGCCATGAGTCAAAGTCTGCTGAACAAACCCCTTAGTGAGTGCAAACTGTCTTACTTTGTAAGTAGAGCTCAATCTGTGCGTTTATTGTATGAATGTGTGGATTTATGGTGAACTAGAACTGTTTCTCTGAGGTCCAGAGGCATGCTCAGAAATATTTAGCAACTGGATCTTGGCAAAATTAAAAGAAAAAAAAAAAAAAGCCCTGGTTTGTAGCATTTGCCAATTTCTGTGGTGCAAAATACTTTCACTATGGCCAATTTCAAGATGCCAACATGATGTTACCCGGCTCACAAAATTCTCAAAATCTTAATCGGCTCTTGTGAGTTGTTATGAGTCAGCCCCAGCACAGTGCTGTGTGAATTCCTGCCGAAGGAGACAGCCTTAGACACCTGGAATGTGTGGGAGTCGAGGAAAGGTGGAGGTACTGTGTGCTCTGTCCTAAGCCCCAAACTGCACAAGGGGGAACTTTGAGTGTCTTTGAAACACTGTTTCAAGAATTACAAGAACTTGGCCAGGCACAGCGGCTCATGCCTGTAATCCCAGCACTTTGGGAGGCTGAGGCAGGCAGGTTACCTGAGGTCAGGAGTTCAAGACCAGCCTGGCCAACATGGTGAAACCCTGTCTCGACTAAAAATACAAAAATTAGCGCAGTGTGGTGGTGCATGCCTGTAGTCCCAGCTACTTGGGAAGCTGAGGCACGACAATTTCTCGAACCTGTGGCAGAGGCAGAGGCTGCAGTGCACTGAGATTGCACCACTGCACTCCAGCCTGGGCAACAGAGTAAGACTCTGTCTCAAAAAAAAAAAAAAAAATCATAAGAATTATGGTCATGGAAATGGGGGGGGGGTCATGTCCCAGCTAAAACCCTTACAGAGGCCTTCTGTGATCCTGGGATAGGTGTCTTAACCTCTCCGAGTCTCAGTTTTCACATCTGCCAAAATGAGATGTGAACACCATCAAGGGATATGGTTAGAATTCCATGAATGAACCAAATGGACCTTGTCTAGGACCAGTCAAGAAGGAATGACTTCACACCAAGGCTCCAGACACATGGGAAGTGCTCAGTAAGCGTGAGCTCTCCCTCTTGCCCTTCTTTCCAGCCTCCTCCTGGAGGTTGTACCATCTATGGAGTGCTGCCCCTTTGCCGAGCTGGGTGTAGGCATTCAGCCAACTTATTACATCTGTGGGTAAATTGGATGGCTAACCACAGCAGGCACTGGGCTGGCTTCCTCTTCAAACCTGACGGTGCTTGTTCCAGGGTGTTGAGAAACAGCAGAATGCACATTCAATGTGTTCACTTGTTCACCCTCGGTCCTAGGGCTAACCTGCAGTTTCGCCGCCAACTAGGCAGGTGGACTTGGACGTCTTGTTAGTTCGTTATACCTCTGAGCCTCAGGTCCCTCCTGTGCAAAATGAGGAAAATTGTCATCTCTTTTTCTAAGGTTATTGTGAGGCTAAGATGAAAGAGTGTATTTAAAGAGCCTAATGTGGTGTCTGGCCTCTGTAAATATGCTATAAATGGTGGCTGCTATTATTCCCATTATATCATCTAGAAAAGAGGACAGGCTGCCCCTTCAGACCATGTGCTTCTTGCAAATCACCCCCAGAAAGAGTTTTTTTTTTTCTCCCCAGAATCTCTTTTTCTCCCAAAATGAATTTTGAGTTTGGTCCAAGTTCTTCTATTACATGAAGATCCTTCATTCCTTAAGGACCTGCTGCAGAGGCCATAGAGGAGAAGCTACTTCACAAGCAGCATGTTCTCTAAGTCAGCCTCCTAGACAAATCCTGGTGGGGCCCTATGGGGAGAAACCTTGATTTTTTCTCTAAGAAAACCCTTGCAGAGAGACCACTTCAGTGCCAAGTAATTCGCTGTAACCCCTGGTAGATGGAGGGCTGTTAGGGAAGTCCCACGATCTAACTCACCTCCTCATATGGTTTGGCTGTGTCCCCACCCAAATCTCATCTTGAATTGTAGTTTCCATAATTCCCATGTGTCATGGGAGGGATCTGGTGGGAGGCAACTGAATCATGGTGTGTGTGTGGGGATCTTTCCTATGCTGTTCTTGTGATACTAAGTCTCATGAGCTCTGATGGTTTTATAAGGGGGAGTTCCCCTGCACAAGCTCTTTGCCTGCCTCCCTGTAAGACATGACTTCGCTCCTCATTTGCCTTCAGCCGGGATTGTAAGGCCTACCCAGCTGTGTGGAACTGTAAGTCCATCAAACCTCTTTCCTTTATAAATTACTCAGTCTCAGGTATGTCTTTTTTTTTTTTTTTTGAGGTGGAATTTTGCTCTTGTCACCCAGGCTGGAGTGTAGTACCATGGCCATAGCTCACTGCAGCCTCGACCTCCCAGGCTCAAGCAATTCTGCCTCAGCTTCCCAAGTAGCTGGGACCTCAGATGTACGCCATCACACCTAACTAATTTTTGTATTTTTTTGTAGAGTTGGGGGACTTGCTATGCTGCCCAGGCTGGTCTGGAACTCCTGGTCTCAAGTGACCCTCCTCCTGCAAAGTGCTGGGATAACAGGCCTGAGCCACTGTAGCTGGCCAACTGTGTGACTTCTGATCAGTCACCTGCATCTACAAATGGGCTGTTCTAAGATGAGGTGAGATCATATAAACAAAGCAGCCAGCATAGCCCTGCACGTAGTAGGTGCTTAGTTAATGCCTCCTGCTTCTGCTCTGATTCATATTGCCTCCCCGAGCCTCAAGCTTTTCATCTATGAAATAGAGCTAATTATTGCAGACCCATCAGACTCATCTATTTGCTCCGTATACATTGAGTTCATCCTCAGTACTGGGTCAGCTGCCTGGTATGGAACGTGATGAGACGGGTGCTGTGTACCGGACGCTATTCTGAGCTCTTGGCTTGTTCTACTATTTAATCTTCACCACAGCACAAGAGGCACTATATCATCATCCTCACTTTGCAGATGAGGCAGCGGAGACCTAGGGACGTTAGGTATGATGTCTAAGTTCGCGCAGTAACTGGAATTTGTAGGATTTGAACCCTAGCAGTTTCTTTTCTTTTCTTTTTTGAGATGGAGTCTCTCTTTGGCTCAGGCTGGAGTGCAGTCGTGAGGTCTCAGCTCACTGCCACTGCCTCTTCCTCGTGGGTTCAAGCAATTCTCCTGAGCCTCCTGCGTCAGCCTCCCGAGTAGCTGGGACTACAGAGGTGCACTACCATGCCCAGCTAATTTTTGTATTTTTGATAGAGATGGGATTTCACCCTGTTGGCCAGGCTGGTCTTGAACTCCTGACCTCAAGTGATCCCCCAGCCTCGGTCTCTCAAAGTGCTGGGATTACAGGTATGAACCACCACACCTGGCTTACTAGCAGTTGGTTTCTACTCCATTGAAACAATGCAACACTGAGTATAGTTTCAGTGTAATGTGTGTATATTAAGACTAGAGGTCATGGTAGCCCAGAGGAGCGCCTGGCCCGTTTCTGGGGTTCAGAGTCCTGCTATCCAACATTGCCTCTTTCAGAGAGGAAACCAGAGACCTGCATTACAAGAAGGAACAGCAGGTTCAGAGCCACGAGGCAGGACTGAGCTTGGTGTGTTCCAGAAACAGCAGGAAGGCTGGTGTTTCTGGAGAGTGGTGTGGAAAGTGCTTCTTCAGGGCACTTCCTGTTTTTTTCTATGTATTACCTCAGCTGTGTCTCTTAAGAGCCCATGGGAAAGGCCAGGCTGGCCAGATGAGGACAGCAGACCCAGAGAGGTCAAACGCCTCGTTCACACAGCGTGCTAGTGGTGGAAGCTGAACTGAGAGGAACTGGTCTGGCCTGGCTGTCCTCTGAGGAGGTGAGGCTGGAAAATCACAAGATTGGATTTCCAGTTTTTCTGGGCGCCAGGCTGTTGCAGTGACACGGAAAATTAAAACCAGCCCACCCACAATGCCTGGTGCAAATTGCAGGAGGGGAGGAGGTGAGGGACAGAGCAAGGACTGGGGACATCAATGCGTGAAGAGGCTGCCTGAGCCCAGAAGGGAGGAACTCTCAGTGTGATTTATGCTTAGTGGTGCTGCAGGCAGGCGGGGAGGGAGCAGGTGCCTGTGTATCTTAGCTCCTCTGGGTACAAGGGCCTGGGCTTCAGGATGCCTTTCTGGGGTGCCCATTAAAAAAATCAAGGCCACATTTGAAACTAACAAAAGTTCATATTTAAAGTAAGTCCACTTCTGGCTGGGCACAGTGGCTCACACCTATCACACCATTGCACTGCAGCCTGGGTGACAGAATGAGACATTCTCTCTCTCTCTCTCTCTTTCACACACACACACAAACACACACTCACTTCTTAATAGCCATTTCAGGCTTTTAAGAAGAAGTTCACCATACCATTTTCAAACAGTGAAAAACAAGACATGTGCAGCCTCAGTGCTCACAGACGGAGAAATGGCTAGACATTTACAGGTGTGTATCTATTTTATGGAATATTATATAGCCTATAAAAAGAATATACCAGTGCTTATTAATATTAATATTACATAGCCTATAAGAATATGTTAAGATGTATAGTGGGATGAAAAAAGCAAGTTACAGACTATTATGGGTAGTAGGATGTCACTTATTATCTGTCCCCAAAGAACCTTCTCAATATTATACCTTTTCTGTGAGTGTATAACAAAATTTAAAAATGCACATTTACTTTATGTACCATAAAGATGGACAAATATACTCCCAATTATGACTGTGAGATGCTGGGGATGGTCAAACATACTCTGTTTTCAGAAATGTTAAAGTCTGATCAAGGCTGGGTGAGGTGGCTCATGCCTGTAATCCCAGCACATTGGGAAGCTGAGGCAGATGGGTCACTGGGCAACATGGTGAAACCCTGTCTCTACCAAGAATACAAAAAATTAGCCAGACGGGGTGCCTTGCACCTGTGGTCACAGCTACTTTCGAGGCTGAAGTGGGGGGTTGCTTGAGCCTGGGAGATGGAGGTTGCAGTGAGCTGAGATAAGGCCCATGGCACCTTAGCCTGGGTGTCAGAGTGAGACCCTATCTCAAAATCAAAAAAAAGTATGATCAAGTGTGCACTGTAGAATTTGAGAAATACATAAATATATAGAAAAATTATAAGCATATTAAAAAACTGGGAACAAGCAAATTGAGACATTTATAGAGTGTCAATCTGGAAAGGAGACAAAGACACAGGGCTTGGGGTTGTGGCCAAGAAGATCTTTTTAAATTTTTTCTTTTTTTATTTCTTTTGAGATGGAGTCTAGCTTTGTCTCTGAGGCTGGAACACAGTGGTGTGATCTTGCCTCACTGCAGCCTCTGCCTTCCAGGTTCAAGTGATTCTCCTGCCTTAGCCTCCCAGGTAGCTGGGATTACAGGTGCACGTCACCATGCCCAGCTACCTTTTGCATTTTTAGTAGAGACCGGTTTTCACTATGTTGGCCAGGCTGGTCTCAAACTTTCGGCCTCAAGTGATCCGCCCACCTCGGCCTCCCGAAGTGCTGGGATTACAGGTGTGAGCCACTGCGCAGGGCCATGTTTTAATTTTTTCTAAGAAGAATGTTAGCACGTGTTGCCGTAAAGCAAGCTCCAAGAGGGCTGCCTATATGGTTGGATTTCTCAACAGCGTGGCTTGTTGGGCTATCTGTGGCCCTGGCTCACCTCTCCAGCTGCAAGAGCTGAGATATGTGCTACTTCGGATGTCTCCTCCTTCCAGATGTTGGCATTTTCTGTCTCCACTTTTCGGAATCCCTCTCCCACCTCTCAGCTCAGTTAACGCCTCACCATTTTGCCTCTCAGCTGAGACCTTTCCCCGACTCAGGAAGCCTTTCCTAACTTCCCAAGCTGGAGTACGTGTCTGGAGTCCCCTGACCCCTTTGTCCACCTCCTTTGTAATCTCGTTCCAACTCTGACACTCCACGGCCATTGGATCCTGGGGTAATTGATGTAAGTTCCTTGAACCTCAATTTTTCCATCTGTGAAATGGGAATTAAAAACTCCCACCTAGTAGGGTGTAAGCTGAAGAGGAGAAAGAGACTTTTTCTCACATTCAGTGCTCACAGCTCTTCAAGGTTAGAGTCCAATTGACAGGTGAGGAAAATGAGGCTTTTGAGTGATGATGAGTGAAGATGTGGTTTGCTTGGGTAAGAGGTGGAGTCAGAACTTGAACCCAGGTCTTTGCTGGTAGACTCCCGCTCCTTCCCTATCCTAACAGTGCCTCTTGGAGATCATGGAGATGCAGCCCCCATCCTCCAGGACAGACTCAAGGCCACACTTTTATAAAAAGATTGAAAAAGCCACTTCCTTCTCAGGCATAACCGGACTGCATAGCTCTGAGCTCTTCCTGAAGTCTCAAAGTCAGATTGACAAGGTGAGAAAATAGAGGCGCTGATATTTCTTCCTTGCGGTAAATGGATCCTGAAACCTTCTTTTGCCAGAGCTTTTGATGTTCCTGGGGTAGGAGACATCCTCCCGCTCTGCTTAAGAGCGCTAACCAGCCTGGGGCTTCCTGAGCTTGCAAACCAAGTCGTGGAAGCCGGCTTTCCCCACTGAGCAGCTCTTTGGATAGCATGATGACCGAGCAGTCGCAAACACTTCTGTTTGTTTTTGCTGTGAACATCTTTGCTTCTTTCTTTTATATTTTTATTTTTTGAGATGGAGTATTGCTCTGTCCTCCAGGCTGGAGTGCAGTGGTGTGATTTCAGCTCACTGCAACCTCTGCCTCCCGGGTTCAAGCAATTCTCCTGCCTCAGCCTCTGTCATAGCTGGGAATACAGGCACCCGCCACTGTGCCTGGCTAATTTTTGTATTTTTAGTAGAGATGGGGTTTCGCCATGTAGGCCAGGCTGGTCTTGAACTCCTGACCTCAAGTGATCCACCCACTTTGGTCTCCCAAAGTGCTGGGGTTACAGGTGTGAGCCACCGCGCCCCGCCTGCTTCTTTTCTCTTTCTGGGATTGCTTTTTGCTTGATTTGCAACAAAATGTTTTTAGGTCTAAAATATCTCTGCACTTGGGCACACATATTTACTGGTGATGAAACAATGGCCTGTCAATATTTTATTCCTATTTTTTTTGAGTCAGAGTCTCACTCTCACCCAGGCTGGAGTACAGTGGTACAATCTTGGCTCACTGCAACCTTTGCCTCCCAGGTTCAAGTGATTCTCCTGCCTCAGTCTCCCTAGTAGCTTGGATGACAGGCCTGTGCCACCATGCCTGGCAATTTTTGTATTTTTAGTAGAGACAGGGTTTCACCATGTTGGCCAGGCTGGTCTCAAACTTCTGACCTCAGGTGATCCACCCACCTTAGCCTCCCAAAGTGCTGGGATTACAGGTGTGAGCCACTGCATCTGACCAACATTTTAATATTATTGGTAATTCCAGCAATAATTATAGTATTGTCTTTTGAGTTCCTACTGTAAGCCATCCCAGATGTGGTACTGTGTGGATGATGTCACTCCCGAAAACATATGGTCATGTATGAAGCCCCAGTACCTGCGAATGTGACTTATTTAGAAAGAGTATCTTTGTAGGTATATTAAGATTCTCGAGATGAAATCATCTTGGACTAACTTGCTGTGACCTAAATCCTATGACAAGTTTCCTTCTAAGAGGAGGAGAAGATGGCCATGTGTGGATGGAGGCAGGGATTGAAGTGACGTACCCCCAAGCCAGGGAGCATCACAGATTTCTGCCAGCTCCCAGGACAGGAGAGAGATGAGGAAGGATTCTCACCTAGAGCCATCAGAGGGAGCCTGGCCCTGCTGATAGCTTCATTTTGTCCTTCTGGCCTCCAGCACTGTAAGACACGAAATTCCTGTTGCTTAGAAGCCACTCAGTTTGCCTTTATGTGTTCCAGCAGCCACAGGAATGTAATACCACCATCTGATCCAAGAACAAGCCCCCGCTGCCCCCACCCTCAACGCCCACAAGTTTTTCTGCGTCATCACGGTGACTTCCTTTGTGACACATCGCAGCCTGCAATGATCTTTGTTTTCTCGCTTCCTGGCTACTGCTGGCTCCTGTTTGGGTCTGAGAACTCTATGAGGGAGCAGCCTTGTTCACTGTGGTATCCCTAGACCCTAGGACATGGCTTGACCCTCACTGGGCATTTGTTTCTGAATGAATGCATATGCTCAGGGTTAAGCTCAGTGCTTTTGAAAACATCACCGGTGGCTCACGCCTGTAATACCAGCACTTTGGGAGGCTGGGGTGGGTGGATCACCTGAGGTCAGGAGTTTGAGACCAACCTGACCAATATGGTGAAACCGTGTCTCTGCTAAAAAAGAAAAATACAAAAATTAGCTGGGAGTGGTGGCTGGCACCTGTAGCCCCAACTCCTCCAGAGGCTGAGATGGGAGAATTGTTTGGACCCATGAGGCTGAGGTTACAGTGAACTGAGATAGTGCCACTGCATGCTAGCCTTGGTGACAAAGTGAGACTCTGCCTCAAAAAAAAAAAAAAAAAAAGCAATGCTAATCTGGAAAACAACCCTGCAGGGAGGTAGGTCTTAAGTCTTAAATATTTTTAAGGATGAGAAAATGAGGGCTCACAGAGGTGAAGGGACTTACCTAAGGTTCATGGTAAGTAAATGTGTCTGGCTGGCCTCAGACCCAAGACCCTGCTCTTCTAAGACCACCAACAGGGAATGACAGGACTGAGATAGAAATCCAACGTTCAGGAAGTTTGCTTTTGAGTCCAACTTAGTAGCTGCCTCATGTAATTCCTCTCCAGCTGTTAAAGGCAGACATTGCTGGGCACCCTGCTTCAGGTGTCCTGGGAGAAGGAAAGGGCCAATTAGCTATATGGGGTAGAGGGAGGGGAAGTGGCCCCTCAGTGAGGGCTGAGTGCAAGTCATCTGTTACGGTCCTCCTGTCAAGATGAATATGGTCCACCTCCACTTCTCAGATGAGAAAATCGAAGCTCAATGAGACACACGTCCAAAGTCACACGGCCAATGAGAACCACACCCAGGTCTAACGCTAAATACGCCGCTCTTTCCTCTAAAATTCAGTGCCTCAGGTGGAGGGCCTGTGATCATGTTACTCAGCCTGACTTCTCTGAATTAACACATGGCTGCCTGAGTCTCTTAAGACCCACTGCCACCTGCCACTACAGCAGTTTATGTCCACATCTGAACTTCCTTTCTGAATTGTAAGTTCCAAGGGGGTGGGATTTATGTCTGATTCACCTTTGTACCTCTAAAATACCCATCCCCAAATATTGCACCTATTTAGATGCTCAGCAAATACTCAGTGTCCTTCCTTTCCCCCTCCCTCCCTCCCTTCCTTCCTTCCCATTCTCATTCACTAACTCAGCCATCCATTGCACAAGGAGCATGTGTTACACCCTAGGTTCTGTGATGCACGTTACTGGGCGTTCAGGGAGATGCAAGGACACATCAGAAGAGGACATTTTCCAGGTCTTGCTGGCCTTTGATTCCTGCCCTCTCTGTCCTGCTCCATTGTATCTTCCCTCCTTGTCAGTGCCTGGGATACCCACTAGCCCCTGTCAATGCCCTCCAGCTAGAGATCACCAGGGACACTCCTGCAGTGCAATTTGGGGTTTACTGCTTACTGCCACAAAGGAGGACACATACCGTGGGGAGCTGTGGGGTGTCTCAGTAAGAGTCGCTAGGAAGGACTTACAGGATTCAAGCTTTGATGAAGTGACTTTGGAGGGTCTGAGGAAGTGGAGGTTGCTCTGGACTAGGTAATATCAGGAAGTAGAGACAATTCTGTGACCAAATATCTCAATCTTATCTATAAGGGAGGCAGACTAGCTGTGATTGAGCAAGTAGGAACACACATATTAGCTGGAGAAGGGGGTGTTTGGTATTTTGTGGGTGGCACAGAGACCTTGTTTCGCCTGTGCTTAGGCAGTCTGTGAAGTGGCCTTGCCGGGTCTCATTGTATTGTAGTCTCAGATGACCTCCTGTGATGCTGGAGTGCAAGAGATTCCATCAGCGAAACACCGCAGTCTAGCTGTGAGCGCCACGCCAGTTCCCAGAAGTTGGAAACTGTTTCTTTGTCTTCATCACAGGGGTTCATTAGAGGCTTACTGATGAATGGGAATCAGGTCTCACGGCCTCAGATCTGTTTGGTTGTAACAGGCTTTCCATATTACCAAAAGCTTTGCAAGATCTCAGGCACATTACTTCATTTAGATAGCCCAATATGAAGCTGAGAAACAGTAACACTTACTGGGCTTATGATGTGACAGGCACTATTCTGAGAAGTTTGTCCATTTTATCTCATCCTCAATATACAATCCTGTGAAGTGCGTACTGTTAGTATTCCCATTTAGCTGATGAGAAAACCAAGGCTTGAACGTTATAAGGTAACTCACCAAGGGCCCCTCAGCTGGAAGTGACAGAGCTGACACTGGAACCCTGGTGAGCATAGGTGGCAGGTGTTAGGGAAATGTTTACTGAAACAATAAATGGAGAAGTGGTGACCAGCGGTCCTGGTTTGTTCTGCCTGGTTCCTGCAGACGCCCATGGTCATGGTAGATAATTTAATACAGTCGATGATTGTTTCATTCTCAAAAGTGTGGTTTGGATAGTTAATTATATACTCAGTCAACAAGCCTGCAAGAGAGAAACTGTCTGTGACTCACTTATTTTTGTCCTTAGGCCAGTGCTCAGCATGGAGCTAGACTCAGAGCAGACACTCTTAATACCTTTGGTGAAGTTAGTAAGCTCTGGGAGATCAGTGGGCAGGTGTTTTCACTCTTATTTTGCAGAAGAGGCTCAGGATGGTCCAGTCATTTGTCCAAAGTCACACAGCTTGTATGTCACAGACTCTTATTAATTGGTCTTTTGACTGTAACTCTTCACTACCTAATATCCACCACTTCCCAATAGCCCAGACCACCTCCCCCAAATTGGTGATTAATATTATTTTTATCATATCCACATTCTAAAGAGGAAGATCTTCCCCAAATGCATTCTGAGATGTGGTGACAGATGGGAACATTTCCAAGGAGAACAGAACTCAGAATCAATACTCATGTTCCAAAACCACAATCCTGGGGAAAAAAAATACAGCAAAGAATAGGGCACACACCCAAAGAAAGCTAAACCCAGTTTCAGCAGGAGATTGTACTGTTCTCTCATGGGGAGCCTGTTCTTACCCAGGCATTTAATTGAACGTTGGATGTCAAGGCGGTTTGCAGTGAGACTGGGGAACTCACATGGGGCTGCTGTGGCTGCATCAACTCTGGAAAACCTCATTAATTTCTGAATGAGAAATGATTTCCTTTCTTGGCCACAGTCTGGAGATGATGGTGTGCGGGGGATGGAATTTAAAAGACTAGGTTTTTGCAAGACCTGTGGTACTTCCCTGCCCCAGATTTTCCCTTTTAAAAGAAAGAAAGAAAGAAAGGAAGAAAGACTACAGAGAATCAGCTTGGCCATAGAGACCCCCACCCAGGTGGCACTGAAGGAACTGAGAGAAAGACCTCCAGATAGAACAGCAAAGTGAGACTATCCTGGAGACCAGCAGTCTTCAGAGCTGAGAGCCTCAGGAGCTGACAGCATTTCAGGGTGAGGGTCTCAAGTAGAAGCTGACCCATTCATTTATTCTCTCTGAACAGGTGATTATTATCAACAAACAGACGTTCAGTATTTTCTCTTAACACAAAAAATGCCAAGTAGGCAGCTGGTGCCTGCTTACCACTGATCACAAACTAAAAAGTATTCCCCACGAGGGAGCCACGGGGACAGGGTCAAATGTCCCGAGCTTAAAGAATTGTTTTAACTGGTATATGTTGTCCTGCCACTTTGGAATGTCACAAGCACTTCTCTACTTTGTGGTGGTGTGTGTGGGGGGAGCGGTGGTGGCTAGGTTTTCCTTGCCATTTTTCTTCCTAGCAAACAATATATTCCATCATACACTCAGTGCTTCTCAATATTCACACCCTTAGCATTTCTCAACGACTTAACATTTCTCAACCAAAGACCATTGGTCTCATCCCCTGTAATCATATTTCATCCCACAACAGCACTGGGAGGAAGTTCAGTCTTGTTTCCTTGACTCACCAAAGTCAGTGCCACTTGAGGGATTGAAGACCAAGTGATTTGGTCACAGCGGAGGTCACAGACCAGAGTGTTGTCATCAGCATCTTTATTATTATCATTTAGTGCCTACTCTATAGGACACAGCACTAAACACTGTGCTACATTGCCCCATGCTGCCCTATGGTCTTTACAAGTATTTTTTTTTTTTTGAGATGAATTCTTGCTCCTGTCATCAATATCAGTGCAATGCCATGATATCGGCTCACTGCAACCTCTGCCTCCCGAGTTCAAGCGATCCTCCCTCCTCAGCCTCCCGCCTCAGCCTCCTGAGTAGCTGGATTATAGGTGTCCGTCACCACACCTGGCTAATTTTGTATTTTCAGTAGAGACAATGTCTCTCCATGTTGGTCAGGCTGGTCTTGAACTCTCAACCTCAGGTGACCTGCCCCCCTCGGCCTCTCAAAGTGCTGAGATTACAGGTGAGAGCCACCACACCTGGCCTTTTTTTTTTTTTTTGAGACAAAGTCTTGCTCTTTGCTCTTGTTACCCAGGCTGGAGTGCAATGGTATGATCTCGGCTCATTGCAACCTCCAACTCCCGGGTTCAAGTGATTCTCTTGCCTCAGCCTCCCAAGTAGCTGGGATTACAGGCACCTGCCACCATGTCTGGCTAATTTTTTTTTTATTTTTAGTGGAGACAGGGTTTCACTATGTTGGCCAAGCTGGTCTTTAACTCTTGACCTCGGGCAATCTGCCTACCTCGGGCTCCCAAAGTGCTGAGACTACGGCATACAAGTGTTACAGTTCTGTGAGCTGTATACTTCCACCTCCATGTCGTAAAAAGCAGAAATGGAGTTTGAGTAATTAAATGACATGCCCAGTACCCCACAGTCAGCCTGAAATCAAGTGCAAAAATAATCTGGCTCTGAAGTCTATATTTTTCATCACCAGGAAGTCCTCTCTCAGGCTTCCTCAATGTTATTTCCTAGAAATTGCCATAGTTTTCCTGCCTGAGAGCCACACTGTGTACCTCAAAATTCACTCATTGTTTCATTCATTCAAGACATTGGTCAACACATATCTGTTCAGCACTTACCATGTCCCAGAATCTCTGCTAGAAACTCAGTGATACAGTCATGCGTGGCAATATCTTCCTTGTCAAGGAACTCACGTCCTGTAAGGTGAGACATAAAAGTGACTAAGATGCCCTCAATACTAGGTAGTAAATACCCGTCCCTATGGGGTGCTGAGGAGGCACAGAGGAAGGGCGCTTGTCTGTGTGGACAGGGGTGAATACAGTGTAAGGAAACTTCCCAGAACAAATGATGCTTAGCTTGTACTGAAGGATGAGAAGGAAGTATTTATTTTCATAACTATCCTATTGCCAAAAGGATTTAAAGATGCTCGGCACCCAGCTCATAGTAAACAGCCAATACACATTTGGTAAATGAATGGATTAAAAAAATAAAAACAACTTTGCACTTGTTTCTCTTTTTCCTTTGGCTGCTGGGAAGGTCAGAGCCAAAGTAGTGGCAGAGGGATAGACCTTGAGACCTTAGACTTCCCTCCTTTCCTCTTTTTCTTCCCCCATTCACCCTCAACCGTGGGTCTTGACTTTCATGTCTTTCATTCTTTTTGACTTGCTGATTTTTGTCGGTTGTATTAATATTTATTTTTGACTGTTTGGGCTTGGGATTTCTCTAGAAATGGCCCCAGATCCTATTAGAGAGGGGACAAGAGAAATATATTCAATGCAGGGCTCTTCTCCAGGGATCTGTCTGGCTCTGCAACAGGGGATGGGGGGTGGGTGGGGAGGCAGCCTCTCTCCCTTCACTTGGTTATCCCACACAGCACATCGCCTTCCTGCCCTGAGAATAACATGTCCCCTTTAGTTCTCTCATTGCCCAAAGCCCTTCATCCACAGAGTCCCTGCTCCCCCATCCCATCCAGAAAGCTTGCATGATGCATCAAGGTACTGGCAAAAGCTTTCAACAAAACCCGAAAAGCTTGCATGAGGCTCCTCCTTGTGGCGACAAATATGTTCTTGTAGAGAATGGGGCCAGCACTCTGGTCAGTGAAGACAGCCTTGAGATAAGGTAACTTCCAGATGATCAGCAGGTGCTGGCCCCAAAACGCCATGCCAAGGACCACAGTGATTTTTAGATCTCTTAAGGTCCCATTACTGTGGAGACGGAGCCAAGGCACAAATACTGGCGGCCATCCCCCAATCCCAGGTTCTTCCTAACACCCCAGTCTTGCAATGAATAATTCGTGATGTGTGTGGTCATCTGCCCTGTGGCTTCCCTCTTGTTAGAAACCAGTTCTGGTGGGGCACAGTGGCTCACACCTGTAATCCCAGCACTTTGGGAGGCCAAGGCAGGAGGATCGCTTGAGCCCAGGAGTTTGAGACCAGCCTGGGCAACATATCAAGACCTCATCACTACCAAAAAAAAAAAAAAAATCAGCTGGGTGTGGTGGTGCACACCTGCAGTCCCAGCTACTCGGACAGCTGAGGTGAAAAGTTTTCTTAAGCCCAGGAGGTCGAGGATGTAGTGAGTCATGGCGGTGCCGGTGTACTCCAGCCTGGGCCACAGAGCAAGACCCTGTCTCAAAAGCAAAACAAACAACAAAGCACACAGCCTTGCATATGAGTGTCAACCACTGTTGTGGTCATCATCATCATCAACAGTAGAAATAATAATCATATGGGCAGTGACAGGGTGGATTTTCCCCAGCTCTAGTAGGTGCTGGGGAAGTGTCTGTTGATTGACTGAAGGATGTCAGTAATTCTCCTCTACCTGGTATCCTCTCTGTCTCTTCTAAGCCATGCATGGGACGTTTGTGATTCTGCTGCCGCTCAGCCTTATCCTGATGGTTTTTGGGGGGATGACAGGGTTTTTGAGCTTCCTCCTCCGGGCTTCCCTCCCACTCCTGCTCACCGGAGCTGTCTTCCTCTTTGGAGGTAGGTGCCCGCCCTGCCTGGGACTCTGGCTTGTGGTCCGGGGGGGGGGGGGGGGGGGGGTCGTGGGTACTGTGTATGAACCCTCAACAAAGGAGGGAGCTCCCAGGGCCTCTTGGGGTTCACTTGGAAGAGATGAGTGGTTTTCTGCCCAGAATCACCTAGTTTCTGGTTCAAAGACAGGACCTGTGCAGAGGGAGCAGCTTCCAAGAATCCTTTTCATTATTTCACCAAAGGGGCCACATGTATTGCCTTTGCCTGAACTCGTGATAGCTTCCAGCTCCAGGGCTGTGAGCTGGCAAGAAACCCTCGCTCTAGCCACCCTCATTCCCTTCTGCTGATCAGCCGCTCTGATAGATACTTACCGAGTCCAGCTTGGCCGTAGAGACCCCCACCCGGGTGGTGATGAAGGCATTGACAAGCAGACACCCAGATAGAACAGCAAAGTGGGCGTATCTGGGGGACCAGCAGCCTTCTGAGCTGAGAATCTCAGGGGCCGATAGCATTCCAGGCTGAAGGCCTCGAGCAGACGCTGACCCACGCATTTACCCTCTCTGAACAGGTGATCATTATTAACAGACAGATGTTCCGCATTTTCTCACAACATACAATATGCCAAGTAGGCAGCTGGTGCCCGTTTACCACTGATCACAGACAAACTAAAAAGTATTCCCCACGAGGAGGCCACGGGGACAGGGTCAAATGTCCCGAGCTTAAAGAATTGTTTTAACTGGTATATGTTGTCCTGCCACTTTAGAATGCCCCAAGTAGTTTTCTATATGGGGAGGCGGGAGGCGGCTAGGTTTTCCTTGCCATCGTTCTTCCCAGCAAACAATGTATTCCATCATACGCTCAGCATTTCTCAACAGATGCTTTGATTGACTAAAAAACGGGCATGACCAGGCACAGAAAGACACCGCATGAACTCCTTTCTGTGTAGAATCTAGAAGAGTCAAATTCACAATAGCAGAGAATGGAACAGCGGTCACCAAACTCATAGAAACAGAGTGGACAGGCTGAGGACAGGGATTTCAGTGTAAAAGGAGGAGGTCCAGCGATCTGTTGGGCATGATGGTGACAGTGTTAACAGCCCCATACTGAGTTCTCGAAAATCGCTTAGAGTAGATTTTAGTTTTCACCACACACAAAAGAAATGCTAAGTATGTGAGGCCGTGCCTGTGTTGAATAGCTGGACTGAGCCATTCCACAGTATGCACGCACTCATCAAACCCTCATGCCGTGCCCCATAAATACATGCAATGTTTTACTTGTCAATTAAACAGCAGCACACACAGAAACAAGATAAATGAAAACAACAGATAGATAGACAGTGGCTGGTTAACACCATGGCTTGGTTCAGTGGACCGGGGTTTTGAAAACTGGGACCCATCATGTGGCTGGCTGCTTTACACCTCCCCGTACCCTAGTGTATTTGAAATGTTCCTTATTTAAGAAAAACACAGCAGTGATGACATGCACACGTGGAATACGCAGAGGGGAAAAAACAAAAGGGATGCCTGGAGGTGAACATACTGCAAAGCTTCGTCTCCTCCAGCCACTCACAATTATTGTAATACTGGCATTGCTAGTTCACCCAACGACAAATTCTCCAAACCAGTACTGCCTGGTTGAAGTTTCTGGGATGGTGGAGAAGTTCCCTAGCCTCTGATGTGCATCGGGAGCTGTGAACCAGGCTGGGGCAGCGAGTGCTGATGGGGGCGCTGGGCTGTTCACTTAAATTAATTAACTTAAATTTAAATAGCCACGTGTAACTGGCCAGTGGCTACTGTACTGGACAATGTGGCTCAAATCTAATATCTGTGGAGAACCACCATGGACCAGGTACTGTTCTAGGTGCTGGGGAATTGAAAATGAGCCAAACCAACACGGGTGTGTCTGCCCTTTGGAAACTCACAGGCCCCTGGGGAGACAGACGTTAGTTAAATACTTACACAAACATGCCTGTAATCCCAGCACTTTGGGAGGCCGAGGCTGGTAGATCACTTGAGGTCAGGAGTTTGAGACCAGCCTGGCCAATACGGTGAAACCTCGTCTCTACTAAAAATACAGAAATTAGCCAGGTGTGGTGGTGTGCACCTGTGGTCCCAGATACTCGGGAGCCTGATGCAGGAGAATAGCTTGAACCCGGGAGGTGGAGGTTGTAGCAAGTGGAGATCACACCACCGCACTGTAGCTTGGGAGACAGAGTGAGACTGTCCAAAAAAAAAATCACAAATGAATGTGAGGTTGCAGTTGTGATTGGGGCAGTGAGAGACAGCTGTATGGAGCTGTGGAATCACTGCTCAGGCAAGTCCAGGAATCGAAGCATGAGCTGAGATCTGTGGGGAGAATAGGAGTTGCCGATGGCAGGCAGAGAAGCAGGGGTGAGCGCCTCTAGCAGGAAGACCAGCACTTGCAAATGTCCTGTGGCAGGAAGGAGTGAGGACGCTGAGCAGTGTGGCCGGGCAGGGTGAGGAGGAGGGAGTGCTGGGTGGGAGGGGGGTGGGGGTTGATCTGCTCTCCCTTTGCCGTCCCTGCAGCCATGGTGACCCTTGCTGGGATCAGCATCTACATAGCATATTCGGCTGCCGCCTTCCGAGAGGCGCTTTGTCTACTGGAGGAGAAGGCCCTCCTGGACCAGGTGGACATCCGCTTCGGCTGGTCCCTGGCCCTGGGCTGGATCAGCTTCATCACTGAGCTGCTCACCGGGGTGACCTTCTTGGCAGCAGCCCGCGAGCTCAGCCTGAGACGGAGGCAGGACCAGGACATATGAGCCTGGGCGCTGGGTCGAGGAGGGGAGGGAGGGGCTTGGCCCCAGAGCTTCATCGACTCTTCTCCATGGGCTGTGTGGCCTCTTCTTCCTCAAAGGCCACTTGGGGAGGCCAGGTGACCCCCCTCCCCCACAAATCCCCACGGACTAAGCTCGGGGTCTGGCTGTTATCTTAGCGCCTGTGTGCTCATGTCCATGTGTGTCCGTCTGGCCTGGCTGACCCAAACTGCTTCACAGGAAATAAAAATGATCCTTTAAGGACACACGGAGCTTACAGAGTGCAAGGTCCTGGCAACCCCTCTCACTTCACTTCCTCCTCACTGTGCCCCTTGGATCAGCTCCTTGGTGGGTCTGGGAAAGGGAGAGGGTGCCCCACCTCCTGGGCCCTGTAACACCTTGAGCTCTCTCTGGGGATCTTTGGCCTGGAGTTCCTTTTGTTCTACAACTCTCATGACATTGGCTTTCTACAGGGCCAGGTGGTCGGGTTAGGTCTACAATATGAAGCTGCCAGACTCCTAAGAGGTCGGCCAATTGATAAAGCACTCTTCAGGATGAATCATACCTTTCCGTCCTCCGCAGAAAAATCCATTCCTCCTTTCATGCTGGTGTCCTGCCCCTGGGCATGGGCTCCATGTCTGGGTCCCTTGGGGCAGTGCTGTTCACATTTAGCGTGCCCAAGACCCTTTGGGCTTGTTGGTACTCACAGGCTGATGCCACCCCCAGTGTGTCTGAGTCAGGAGGCCTGGGTGAAACCCAAGAACTCACATTTCTAGCTAGCTTCCAGGAGATGCTGAGGATTCTGAACCAAGACACCCTTTCCATAAATGCTGAGCTGGGGCATTTGTTAAGTGACAGGGAAGGGTTGTCACCTTGCTGCACTTAGAATCACCTGGGTATCTTCCAAAAATTCTACTGCTCTGGCTGCATCTTTAAAATCTGATATTCCTTAGGAATGGAGTCCAGGTATCAGTGTCTTTTAAGGGCTCTCCAGGCAATTCTAGCCCAAAACCGTGGCTGAGATTCTGTTCCTGTAACATTCTGAGTCATGAGATGGAGGGGGAGGGCCTGAGGAGCCTTCAGCTTCGGAAGGCCTCTGGGAAGTGCTTGTGGTTTGGGGAATACTGGTGTGGATTAAAGGATGACACCACCGTTATCAACAATATATCATTTTCATCACAACATCTTCATCGCCATGACATCAGCATTGCCTTCATCATAGCTGACACCCACTGAGTACTTTCTATGCACCTGAGCTATTCTCTAGGCCAGTCGATCAGTCAGTCATTCAACAAACACCCAATGGAAAGCCAGTACACACCAGCAACTAGGGGCCAGTGAGTCCTCCAGACCCAGCCCTTGTTCTCTGGGGTGCCATATGGTTGAGGAGAGAGACATATGAAACTTGTAGCCCGTGATGAGGACAAGGAGATAAGCAAAGAAGGGTACAGATGAGGAAACTGAGGCACCAGCAGGTTAACATAACTGGACTAAGGGCATAAGGAGAGAAAGGGATGCAAATGGGAGTAAAATTCAGAACTACCTGATCCCAAGATGGTCCTCCGCCAACTCCCACCAACGCCTGCGCTTCTTACTGGCTCTCTGTTCCTGGGTTCAGGATGCTGCTGTGACGTCCTGTCTAATCTGGAACGGCGCAAATGGAATGGATTACTCACAAGGCCTCACAGGAGTAATTGCTAGGCTGGGGAAAAGAAAGTTGTTGCAAAGTGAGGGCAACCGTACTAGCGAAAGGGCGGTCTCTGCTTCCACCTGCTGGACATATTCTGGAACTGCACCAGAGGCGGGATTTGATTTCCAAATTAGTTTCAGCCCACCCAGCGCCCGCCCGGTGCTGGATTAAACACTGCAGGGTAGGGGTCCTCAGCTGGGGCAATTCTCTCCCCCACCTGACGTTTGGAATGGTTGGAGACAGTTTCGGTCGTTCTGAGTGCGTGTGGGGAGTGGTACTACTGGCATTTCCAGTGGGAAGAGGTCAGGGATGCTGCTCAACATCCTATGATGCTCAGAACATCTGGTCCCGCATGTCCACCGTGGGAAATGCCGAGACACGCTAAGATAGCAACAGTGAGCAGTAACAAACCAAAACTCCAGGGACTGACAACGCAGAAGACTCTCATTCATTTGCCCACCAAGCATGCATTCAGTAAGTGCCTGCCAGACACCCACTATGTGTCAGAGACTATTCCAGAGACTGGGGACACATGAGTGGGGATGGCCAAGAAGATCTTCACCCTTCCTAGCTCATACGGGAACAGATTATAAGCACATGAGTTCATAATCTATCAGAGAGATTCAGACAGCGATTAGTATTATGAGGAAAACAAAACAGGTGATGAGGCTGGGTTTGATGGCTCACAGCTGTAATCCCAGCACTCTGTGAGGCTGGGTGGGAGGTGGGGGTGGATCGCCTGAGGCCAGGAGTTCAAAACTAGCCTGACTAACATGGTGAAACCCTGTCTCTACTGAAAATATAAAAATTAGCTGGGTGTGGTGGCGGGAGCCTGTAATCCCAGCTAGTTGGGAGGCTGAGGCAGGAGAATTGCTTGAACTCAGGAGATGGAGGTTACAGTGAGCTGAGATCGCAGCACTGCATTCCAGCCTAGGTGACAGAGCAAAACTCTGTCTCAAACCAAACCAAACCAAACCAAACCAAACCAAAACAGGGTGATGGGATGAAAGGTGTCTGGGAGACATGCGATGCGACTCCAGGGAGGTTAATCATTAAGGGCCTCTTGGAGGAGGTGACATTGTGCTGAGACGTGCATGAGGAACCTGCAGGTAGGGAAACTGCAGACCAGGCAGGTGACAGCACACAAAGGCCCCGAGGTGGAGGGGGCTTCTGTGTTTGAGGGAAACAAAGAGGGAGGGTTGATTGAGAGAAACAGGAGGTGAAGGTAGAGATGGGGAGGGAGATGGCAGTGGGTGGTGCCCATGGCCCTCGGTAAGAAGGTGCTGATGATTAAGTGGGGTTGGGATGCTGTTCTATTCTATTCTGATCTGCTCTATTCTGTTCTAATCTGTTCTATTCTATTCTGATCTGTTCTGTTTTGTTCTGTTCTGATCTGTTCTGTTCTGTTTTGATCTGTCATGCTCTATTCTAATTCATTCTGATCTGTTCTTGTCTATTCTGATCCCTTCTGTTCCATCCTGTCTTGCCCTCTCCTCTTCTATTTTTCTATTCCACTTGGATTCTCTCTTGACAGCAATGTGCCTTTAAGACAGTGGCTTGCAACCCTGGCTTCACATTAGGATTAGTGAATGTAAGACATGCCTTTTGCCTTCTGCCATGATTATGAGGCCTCCCTAGCCATGTGGCACTGCGAGTCCATTAAACCTCTTTTTCTTTAAAATTTACCCAGTCTCAGGTATGTCTTTACTAGTAGTGTGAGAACAGATGAATGCACCCAGCCTCAGTCCCCAGTGCTGACATTGGTGCCTTCTCCTGGAGGTGAACATTGAGGCTGATGGGGGATCCTGGCAGGTTTGGGCATGTGCCTTACATGTTGAAATTGTAACTCCAGGACTTGTAAATGTGACCTTACTTGGAAAAGGAGTCTTCATGGTGTAATTACTATAGTTCAGATGAAGTTATATTGGATTAGGGTGGGCCTGAAATCCAATGACGGGTGTCTTTCTAAGAAGACCAGGTGAGGATGGAGAGATATACAGAGAGAAGGTCACATGAAGACAGGGCAGGGTTGGAGCGGCACTGCCACAAGCCGAGGACCTGGAGCCACCAGAACCTTGAAGAGGCAAGAAAGGGTCCTCTGCTGGAGTCCTCAGATGGTGCGTGGCCCACCTGACACCTTCATTTTAAACTTTGTTTTTTTCCCTTTTTTTCTTTTTGAGACAAAGTCCCAGTCTGTTGGCCAGGAGGCGTGAAGTGGCGTGTGCTCACTGCAACCTCTACCTCTTGGATTCAAGTGATTCTCCTGTCTCAGCCTCCCTAGTAGCTGGAATTATGGGTGTGTACCACACATCTGGCTAATTTTTGTATTTTTAGTAGAGACGGACTTTCACCATGTTGATCAGGCTGATCTCGAACTCCTGACCTCAGGTGATCCGCCTGACTCGGCCTCCCAAAGTGTTGGCATTACAGGCGTAGGTCACTGTGCCTGGATTGATTTTGAACTTTGGACCTTCAGAATAGCGAGAGAACACATTTCTATTGTTTCAAGCATCATCTAATTTGTGGTGGTTTATTAGGGAAGCTCGAAGAGGTTACTAAAGTCATTGTATGACAAGATTATTTCAAAAAGATCAGTGTTAATAACAGCTCACATTACCAAGTGATGACTGTGCTGTATCTTTGTCAGTCTTCCCATGACGTCTGCGAAGCAGGTGCTGTTATTATCTTTCCCACAATGAGGAAACTGAGGCAATAATCATCCAAGTTCATTCCCTGGATTAGTTGTTTCTGGAAAACGGACCAATGCTGTTGACCGGGACCTGTGCTCTTAAGGGCCACACACGTTTTCTTTGCGGCTGCCTAACAAATCACCCGAGATGTAGTGGGTAAAACTAGCGGTGACCCTTGTATGTTGCTTGTGGTCTTAGAGAGTTGAGGATCATGGAAGGGCTCAGCTGGGCGATTTTGGTTTGGCGTCTCTCATGCAGTAGCTGGAGCTGGAACAGCAGGCAGTGGAGCAGCTCGGGGCAGGCTGAGCCCTTCTCTCTTTACATCATCTTGGGGACCTTCCATGTGGCTCTCCATGTGGGCTAGACTGGGCTTCCTGACAATATGGCAGTCTCAGGGCTGTCGGGAGGCTTATATGGCAGTTCCTGGGTCCGGGGCTAGCTATCCCATGGGCAAGGTGGAAGCTGCATTATCTTTTGTGACCTAGTCTCAGGAGTCATATAGCATCCTTCCTGCCACAGTCAGAAGCCTGTTCTGATTCACAAGGAGAGGACACAGACCTCAACCTCCCTGGGAGGCGTATCAAGGTCATATTGTATGTAAGAAGCATGTGGGGGATTGGAGATCTGCTAGAACCACCTTTAGAAAGTACAATTTGCTACCCTCTCTTAGTGTAGCCTGTTTTCTCAAGTCTCACTGACTCATTGTTTCTATCATGGGATCTCAGACACCTCCAGCTCTGGTCCTCAGCAAAATCCAACTATTTATTTGCATCCTTAGCAAGAACAGGGGCTGGAGAGGTCAGCAGGGGCCATGTTACAGAAGGCCATAGGGAGGAGCATTGAGATCAATGTGGAGGGTTTTAAAAAATTGTGATAAAGTACACATGACTAAAATTTACATTTTAATCACTTTAAAGTGCACATGGGTTGGGCCTGTAACCTCAGCACTTTTGGAGGCCTAGGCAGATGGATCACTTGAGGTCAGGGGTTCCAGACCAGCCTGCCTATCATGGAGAAACCCTGTCTCTACTAAAAATACAAAAAATTAGCCAGGGATGGTGGTGTGTGCCTGTAATCCAAGCTGCTTGGGAGGCCGAGGCAGGAGAATCGCTTGAACCCAGAGGTGGAGGTTGCAGTGAGCCGAGATCGTACCATTGCACTCCAGCCTGGGCAACAAGAGCAAAACTCCATCTCAAAAAATAAATAAATAAAGTGCACACAACATAGTGGCATTTAGCACCTGTATAATGTCATGCAACCATCACCACCATCTAGTTCTAGAACATTTTCATCCCCAAAAGATGAAGAGGATGAACATTTTCACCTGTTTTCAACCCAAAAGGAAACCCAGTGGCAAGTTCTACGGAGGAGGAGGTGATACTTTTGTGCCCTAGAAGTATCTCTGTCTACAGCTTGAGTGATGGGCTGGAGCAGTGGGGACTGGTAAAACTGCAGAGATAAAGGCCAGCAGAAGGACTGCTGCTTGTTTAGATGAGAGAACTTGGGCAGAGCTGGCGGGGAGGAGAGAAGAATTCAGACTTGGCATTTATGAGGTAGAATTGATGGACTGAGTGAGTGATTGATGCAGGAAGAAGAGACCAGGTTCCCAGATGAAATATGAGTGTGGATGGTATTGTGATTCACAGAGCTGGAAAATGATGGGAGGCATGCCGACAGGTTGTGTTGAAGGAGGGGAGTAGACAGTAAATTCACTCTGGAAGACAGTGCCTGAGACACTGTGGGGGCATTCAAGAGGGACAGGTCCAAGAGGCAGAGGGAGATATTTCTTAGGGTTGGGTCAATCACTTCCCCAGCCTTGGTACTAGTGACATTTGAGGCCAGATATTCTTTGTTCTCGGGAGCTGTCTTCTGTATCGTAGGATGTTTGGCAGAATCCCTGGATTCCACCCAGTAGATGCCAGCTGCACCCCTCTTTGCAATGATGACAATCAAAAACATCTTCAGATATTGCCAGGTGTCCCCTGGGGGACATGATTGCCCTGGTAGAGAATCACCTGGTCAGATGCACTGGGGAGTCATCAACATGAAAACAATAGTGAGGTAGGGGGCAGGTGCAACTGGACTCTGGACCTGATTGAAGACTGATGGAAGCTGGGAAGAGATACCAAAACACACATCCATCAGTGCCATGACAGCCTACCGTTGCTATGACAACAGTAGGATGTTACCGCCCCTGGCAATGGCAACACACTCCCCCACGGAGTTCCCGCTCATTTTCTAGCCATTCTGAAAGGCTGCTCCTTAATTAGCATGTCAGTAAAAGTGGGTATAAAGAGGACTGCACAGCTGCCCGGAGCTGCTGCTCCCAGCACACTGCCTCTGGGTCAGCCCTGCTCTTGCAGGAGCTGTCCCTGCCAGCTCTCACCCTGCCACCTCCTCAGCACAGCTGTTTCCTTCTACCACGGGCTTGCTCTTGAATTCCTTCCTGGGCTAAGCCAAGAACCTGCCCTGCATCAGTAGTGCAAACCTCTGGGATGTATGAGGCGCTCAGAGATTCAGCGTGACACGCGAAGAGGAGAGAGCTCAGGAAATGTGCACGATAAACACCAACTCACACGGGCGAACCAGAGGAGACAGCAAAGGTTCCTGAGAAGGAGCGATCAGGGAGAAGAGAGGAAAGAAAAAACCCTGTGACTGGGCAGGTCCTGGTACTAAAGGCTGCCTCGCCTGACTTCCAACCATCCACGAGACCACATTTCCACGTTTACTTCTGGGGGGCTGCAGAGCACGGGGGCTCACGGCACAGGCTCTATGGAAGTTTGAATTCCCAGCTGTGGTATCAAGGACAAACTGCTTAAGTTCCTTGTCCCTCCACGTCCTCATCCTTAAGGCAGGGCTCACATCAGTTCCTACCTTCAGGGTTGCTGTGGCCATGAGATACAGTAGGCGAAGCACTTAGAACAGGACTTCTCATCTGTGAGTGCTGAGTCAGTGTCAGCTTCTCTTATGATGATGCTGACTCATTTCCAGCCCATTTGAACCTGGCCTCACTCCTTGGACTTAACGCCGTCATTCTTACATTCAGCAAATATTTATGGAAGACTTACTGTGCACTAGCAGACACTGTGTGTGGTGAGCAAAACAGAAGCAGGGCTCACCCCCATGGTTGGGGGTGGGGGATCAATTGAGTGTCACATGCATGGTTCCAAATGGAGACAAGCTCTGTGACGGGGCTACGAGAGGCCAAGGAGACCCCCTCTCTGCTCAGCTACGGTGCCTCGTCTTTATTATCATTATTTTTAGAGACTGAGTTTGGCGCAATCATAGATCACTGCAGTCTCAAACTCCTGGTCTCAAGCGATGCCCCTGCCTCAGCTTCCCAAAGGGCTGGAACTGCAGGCTTGAGCCACTCTGCCCACCCCCGCCCTTTTTTCCCCCTAAGTCACACAGCCTCATCTGTTTGCAGGGCCAAGGCATTCAATAAAGGGGAAAAATCAAAGGACGGAAGGCCTTTCAAATGCATCTCTTATTGTTCTGGAGAAAGTATTACAGTGAAGCCGTCTTAGAGAGGCCGTGGTGGGCGGATCACTTGAGCTCAGGAGTTAGAGACCAGCCTGGGCAACATGGTGAAACCCCTCTCCACAAAAAACACAAAAATTAACCAGGCATGGTGCTGCATGCTTGTAATCCCAGCTATTTGGAAGGCTGAGGCATGAGAATTGCTTGAACCTGGGAGGCAGAGGTTGTAGTGAGCTGAGATCGTGCCAGTGCACTCCAGCCTGGGTGACTGAGCAAGACCGTGTCTCAAAAATGAAATAAAACAATACAAAATAAAGTAATGAGCAGTTGTAGTCGTGTGGGCCTGTAGTTCCAGCTACCTGGGGAGCTAAGATGGGAGGGGAGCTAAGATGGGAGGAGAGCTTGAACTTCAGAAACTGAGATTGCAGTGAGCCGAGATCACGCGACTGCACTCTAGCTTGGGCGACAGAGCGAGACTCTGTCTCAAAAAAACAAAAACAAAACAAAACAAAACAAAAACCGGTTCAAGTCCTTGAATCTCCATCTCCTGATTCTTTGGATTCTACAGACATTTTCATTCTCCTGAAACAGTTCTCTGGCTACAGGCAGCCACGAGGAACACCCATGGCGAGATTTTCCAGAACTTCAATTTCAAAGTGATAGGAAACAATGCCCCTTAAATCACAGGTCTCGATCCTTGGTCCGGAAAGCAGGAGTGCTGAGCTGGTGCCCCAGAGCCAGCTTAGTGTTTCTCAGACCAGAGGAATGAAACGGCAGCGATCAACCCTCCTGTGCACTCCTGCAGTTGCCATCCTGGCCTCTCCACCAAGCAAAGGGTGAGCAACAAAGGGAAGGATGAAAAGTTGGAAGAAAAACCTGGCAGGAAGCAAGAACCTCAGCTGGATTAGCAAGTGACCAGAACCTTGCCATCAAAGGACCTGGATAAAAGGATGGAGATCACTCAGGGAGAGTTTAAATGCAGGCAGCTTAAGTGGTAAGAGACCTAAAGTGAGTGATCAAAGATGACTTCGGAATCACAGATCTGCGGGCCCTGGGAGCTGCTTAAGCCAGAGAATCAAGGGCTGCTGGGCGGGGAGGGGAGGGGTTTGTGCAGAAAGTAGCAAGGTTTCACCTTCAGGGCAGGAGGCCGAGGTCCCTAAGTTAGAAGATCAGGAGCAGGTAGGATACTAGAGCACAGCCATTGTCTTTTTCTCCTCTTTATTTTGAAATAATTATAGTCTCGCAGGAAGTGCCAAAAATAGTAAAGTCCCTGGAACCCTTCATTTATCTTTCCCAGTGGTGACATCCTACATAACTGCCGTGCCGTATCAAAGCTGGGAAGTCCACATCGCAATGCTGTCAGTTAAGCAGATCTTATCGTGCGCGCGCGCGTGTGTGCGTGTGTGTGAGTGTGTGTGCGTGTGTGTGTATGTGTGTGAGAGTGTGTGTGTGCACAGTTGGTGCAAATTTCTACCACGTATATATTTGTGCACAGCACAGTCACAATGCAGAACTCTCCCGTCACCTCAATGGAGCTCTATCTAGCTACACTTTGTAGTCTTTTTTATTTTCCTTTAAAGAAACAGAGCCTCGCTCTGTTGCCCAGGCTGGAGTGAAGTGGGATGGCTCACTACAGCCTCAGCCTGCTGGGTTCCAGTGGTGCTTCCACCCTAGCCTCCCTAGTGCTGGGACTACAGGCACACACAGCCATGCCTGGCTAATATGTACCTTTTTTTTTTTTTTTTTTTTTTTTTGCAGAGATGGGGTCTTGCTGTGTTGCCCAGGCTGGTCTCAAATTCCTGGCCTTAAGTGTTCTGCTTGCTTTAGCCTCACAAGGTGCTGGGATTACAGGTGTGAGGCGCTGTACCTGGCTGCCCTTGCAGTCCTTGCTTGTCCCCTGGCAATCACTAATCTGTCCTCTATTTCTGGAATTCTGTCATTTTTAG